TCGCCTCTCCATCTGCAGCGACCCATCGGGCGATGACGGGTGATGGGCACACGCAGCAGATAGCGTTATTGGCCATCAACACTGGAGATCTTCCCTCTTGTCGATTTAATTAAATATAGTTAAGCGTTGCGAAAATGCGCCAACTGTTAGTTAACTGGTTCGTTACTCACGACTTTGACATCATGATGGGCCTTCTGCCCGCCCCATCCGATAAAATGCGCGGATCTAACATTCTTAACGTCAGCATACTTTGCACATAAAGGCCAGCTAGTGAGGTAACTAACAGAAGCGACTCAACTTAGCGAGTTCCAACAACAATTGGAGAGTTGCGGTTCGTGGCCGGGGGCTTGTTGTCTGATGCGTTGTCAACCATGTCAACTGAGCATCCCCTTCCTAAAATGATAACAGAATGGACGGAAAATAATAAAAATAAGTTAACCAGTCGGAGGAGAGAAGCCCGGTCCCTGTCTCATTCCACTCTTCGTTTTTATTATCTCCGTCTTACAGAGGCAAATTTATCTTGTTCTTTGCTGCCCCTCCGTCAGCCCTGTTTCTCTGCCGGGCAATATTTCCCTGATAAGGCTCGAACCTTGGGTGTCTCTTTTTACAGTACTACATACAGCCCACAGTTGACACCTCTTTTTTTTTTTTTTTTTTTTGGTTCAATTACCTTCACTGTCGGCTCAGTTTCAAATGGAGTTAGCGCTGCGTGCGAGTTTCTGCACTCCAGAAGGCATCGGGATCGCGAAGCCACAGACTCACAGGCAATTGTCTTGCAATCCAGGGATTGGATTCTTGAAGCTTCTGTTGACTAACTTTATTGAATTGCTGTAATGAGACCAGGTGGGGGGGAAAAGGGACACATCTGCACGTTCCACCAACCCAACCATCACGTGCGAAATTCTCTCCCTGGTGAGGTCCTCATGATTCCTTCAACGTTGCAGCTGGCGAGAGGCAGGAAAAACGCGGGGTCTGTGGTGGGGCAGCAGATACGAGTTCTGCACGCCAAGTGGCAAGCAAGTCGTCTCGTCGCCCTTTCTCGGCTTGCCAGTTGATCCATCGCACATTCGCACCAATCCCCCTCCACAGTCTGATTTTGATTCTTGTTTCCTCACGGGTGTGGTCTGATCTGGGGTATCGATCTCACGGGGCTTGCGGAAACTTATGCTCGATCCAGTGATTTCTCTGCCACACTCGTGAAATTTATGCGATTGCTCGTTGCTTAAGACAGGCTGGAATCGAACAACAAGGTAATCCTCATGACCAACACATCATCACAAGGCTACCTTGTTCTTCTATGCAGCAGCATATATTGTGATTTGTGAACCAGCATCTATCCATCAATAAGATCTTAGTTGTTGCATGCATCCGTTTCAAGTTGGTCCCCAGCCACCTGCCTCAATTCTGCCTCAATTCTGCCTCAACGGACTCATTATTTGTTGTTATTCAACTCTCATGTGTTCGCAGGAATAAAAATTACCTCAATCTGGCCTTATCACACCTTCTAAGCGATACCAAGTGCATGATTTTTTTTAGGGATCCTGCCAGCGTACAGTGTTGGATCGTAGGCTGTCTATTAGCCTATCCCGTTTGATTGGATTCCAAATAAAACATCAAGAGAGCAAGGCATGATGAGGTACAAGAACTTGTACCATGGTCGTTGCCTCGACCTTTTTTTTTTTTGAGTTACGTTACTCTTTCTTGTTCGCTTCTTTCCTTTCTTTCTTTTTCCCCTCCCCCTTGACCGCATTAGCAATCGCCTGTTGTCCTTCCCATGCCGAATATCTTTTACACACCGCTCGCGATTCATCGAGCCGGTATTTGGCAACTAACCCACTTAGCCCCTTTTCCAGAAATGGAAACCTTGGAAGAGCCCTGGAAACTGGGTGTTGGTCGCGCAGATTGGTTGCCGAGAACGGAAATATCCACTTTTGCCAAAAGCGTCGATGCATTTTCCTGTCCTTCTTAGAAAAGTCTTGCTGGGAGTGGATTGACTGCGCCCTTTTTCCTGCCTCATCTCTTTCACTCTACTCCGTATGTTATTTTACATTATTTATTTTGAGTTCCCTTTGCACCTTTGCCCCTTTCCGCCCGAACAGCGCCCTCAATCTCACAGCCCATCCATCTGTTGTGGACAGATCTACAGCACGTACATACAGCTCCGGCTGTACAGCGCGATGTATCAAATGCATCATTATATCACTACATATTTCAATGAAGTCATGCCAAGCAGAAGAGAAAAAAGGTTTCATTGATCTCGCAGAATAAAGGATAAATAGAAAGTCACACCGTTCAATTACCGGTGCAAAAATATCCCCTGAATGGATATTGCGGTACAGTTCAAGATTCTCCAACCAAATCAAGAGAGCCCTTGCATAGTGCGCTCTAATTACGTGCATCAAAGGTTAAATCGGAATTTAAGGGAGAGTTGGGTCGGTGTTGGTCAAAATAAAGTTAAAAGAGTGCATTGGCAACCCACATCAAGGTTGGAGATAAGTAAAATGCGGAGCAATTACTTTGCTTTGAGATGGATCTAATATGCAAGAAATACTCTACGCCCCGCCGGCCCGGGGAAAGCGGGAATCGAACATATTCGCTGTATGCTGCTATGCCATGGAGAGAGAGCGCGACATTTCTTTTCCCTCTATCTCTCTTCTCTCCTTTTGCCGGGCTGGATCCTCTTGAGATGTATTTTTTTCTTTTTCTTTTTTATTGCTTTTCCCCTTTGCCCCTCCTTTTTCCTTTCCCCTTACCGCCATTACCCATTCTCCACGTAAATAAATGATATCACACAGTGGGGGTTAAAGTCGCAGCGCCACCGGTCTATCGACTGATCTGGTCGATATGATGATGTTCCAAAACCAACTAGATCGAAGCGGAAAACAGGAAAACGAAAACTGTCTAGCAACCAGGGATTCGAATCGTGGACATACCATACCATTTATCTTGCATGATCCCATGTGGAAATGGAAATCCAGACACCCGATGCCACGAGCCCTTCTCCGCCACAAGATAAGCGGATACCAAGGGGCAGGGTGGGGAGGTTGGACAACGATGCAGGGCTCGCTGGTGAGTTAATATTTAGAATAGTCAAGGATCTCCTTGCTACTGCATTTCAATTTCATATATCGCCCCGCCCGTCCATCGATGAGACAGGTTATGAGAGTCTTTGAACATGAACGTGATTTATTTCTTTTTGGACTGGTTGACCCACCTACTCTTTCCCCTTGATTGCAAAATTTTGATTTTCTACCGCCACCTGGGCCAGCCTGATCGGATGGACATACTCTAAATATATCCCAGAGGAGCGGGATAGCAGGGGTGCGATGGGACCTGTTTTATTATTGATTCCAAGAAGAAGTCTCTGCATGTGTTCTATCTTCATACTTTCTGCGATGGGAAGAACACCGCTACCAGAGCTTTTGGCGAGAGACCATGAATATGCGGTGAATCTGCCTTCACCTTATTCTTCTCGTTTTGTCCCTTACTCCAGACATTAGCCGATTCCCGATTGAAATTT